GCTTTTCACCTTCAAGCATTCTCTTATCCTCCACTGGACTCACAGGTCAAGTCACATAAATAATTTATAATTGTGTATTCTTATATAAGTATAGTTATATATTTGTAATATAAACCGTTTGTTAGACAAGTTTTATCAACCTCTAGTTTTATTTTCATATTAGTTTTGGAGACTATAATTGAGCTGTACTGAAACACTAATGATAAACATTACAATAGACTTGTTAAGAAATAACTTGTTGGGAGATATATTCCATAATCTGTATTTGTATTGTTTGCAGGAGTTCACAGGGCAGTACACTTACAGTCAGTAAAAGTGGTCAAGTGAAGGGATGGAGATTTTTCAATCCACCATCCCCCATGTTCTCTATTAGTCAAAATACATAAAAACCATGTGAAAATACTTGTTAAAGGATTTATGGGACTATTGCTCATAATTGCAGTTTAAAACAAAACCAACAAAAAGTTACAAGAAAGTTTTTTAATCTCTGATAACAAAACCCCAAAAAGAATCTTCACTGTTGAACTATAAAATATGTGAGCGGATGAGGACAAACTGATTACTGTGTGCGTGGAGATTAATAGAGGCTTCAGATGTCAGAGAGTTTCTTTCAGCTGTCAGTCACCAGAGGTAAGAGAAGACCTTAAAGGCATCTTTATGCAGACTTTTCAATCCTCTGGAATTTTAACAATTTGATAGAAAAACACCTCCTCAGGTTTCAAAATGGTTTGCATGGATTACTTGGGACCCACAATATCTATTGGATTTGTTTTCCCATAAGGTACGCCCAGTCTTTATGTGGACCATCAGGAGATTACAGGATTTAAGGGAGAAAAAAAAAACATCAGCTGTTTCCATCATAACTCTGGACAAAAGAAGTGGTGCAGGCTGGATAGCTCCTGTGTGACGGGGTCTGGATTAATAGCTGGAACAACAGTGACCATCACTGCAGGGGTTAATGTTTTCAATGTGACTATGAGTGGACTGAGGACAGAGAGCAGCGGCTGGTATTTCTGTACCAAAGGAGGCCTACAGATGCCAGTGCATGTAACTGTTACTGAGAAACCTACCACCAGTAAGTACTAAATAATTGTGAATTATAAATATAGTATTTGTCAAGTAAAGTTATTTGTAAAAGTTTAGATTTAATATAGATCAGATATTTGGATTCATTATTGTAATATTACTAGTATTCGTTGAATAACTGTATATTCATACTCTGGCAAGTCGTTTAACCACATTATCACCCGATCCTGAGTCTGAATCTCACTTTTGTTTTGCAGATCAAACACCAACCATAACTGGGGGTAAGCAGGATGAGACAAAAGACCGCCATGTTCCAGTTGACCTAAAGAGTCTCATCATCTCTTTGAGTTTGTTGAGCTTCACTGTTATGGTGACATTGGTAATCTGGTTTATGTTAAGAAAACACAGTAAGTCAATGCTAAAATTTGATTAATTCAGTTCATGCCAAAACTGTTTATTATTCATAAATATTTTTACTTTAAATTCAGGCTATTGTGCATTATTCTATATTGAACATTTATGGTTAGTAAAATGACTTTTTACTGTTTCACTTTTAGAGCAGACCAAAGTAGGATCGTCAGCCAGAACAACAGTAAGATTCATTTCACAGTACAAAGGAGACTATGCTATTTTAATAACACTGCAGTGAACTCGAGAGTAAACATTTTAGAGACTACACTGTACTGTTCCTTTGTAGCTGAAGTAGCACTGCAGATGAGTGTCTAACAGTTCTACATTTTGATAATGAATATTACCTTTGTGTATTTGTAATAGAATACAGTTAACATTCACAGATAGAAACTAAACTGTGCATATCGGAGTTAACAAATATGGTAATAGGTTTAATGAATGAACCAGTTATTGGTTATTGGTTCATACTAGTCATTCATTTTTTGTCCTCTGACATTTGGTTTGCTCCTTCGACACAGCCTGAAGAGGAAGTAACATACAGTACTGTTAAGAAAAACAGAAAAACCTCAGGACGGGTAAGGGATTATATGAAAATTATCGGAGCTGAACTTTTATTTTAAAGCTTAATAAATTATTTTTTACTTTTTATTCAAAACTAGTGAATGGAAAATATTCCAGCTGAAGGTGGAAAAGAAAAGGACCTTTAAATATGTGTATTATTTAAAATATAGCCAAACTCAACTAAACTGTGTAATCACATATTGTATTGAAAAGTATTTATATGAAAGAGTCCATGCTTGTCATGTTGATCTAATCTAATTAAGTATATTTAAAAAGTGTCTATCCTTTCTAAAACTGATATTTGGTTCTCTCTTTCATCAGGCTGAAGAGGAAGTAACATACAGCAATGTTAAGCCTGTGAGAAAAGCTTCAAGCACGGTAATCTGTAACTTATCAATATCAATATCAATACACTAAGACACAAGTACAATGAAATAGAATTTTGTATTTCACCATACACATGTATGTTGTAATTGAATAAAGCAAAAAGCAACAACAAAGGAAACAAAAACACTTAAAATGTCCGACTGCTCTGTTACTCTTCTCTTTCTGTGCGCCCAGAGGTCAGATGCTGAGATGACGAGTGATGTGGACGTGCTGTACAGCTCTGTGGTTATCGTAGAACGTCAAACTGCACAAACGGTAAATTTGAAGAGGTCTGAAACCCGCCTCACACGTTTTCTCACATACCTAGGGACGTTTTTCTCACACGTTTCTTTAGTCACTTTGGCAGCCTGGCTGTGTGGATGGCAATGTCTGTCTGTCTCTCAGTCAGTAACGGGTTGTTCATGGCCAGATACCTGACATTCATATCTGCCTCAGCTTTTCTTTGTCTGTTGTGCTAGCTAATTAGCAAATGTTTGCATATTTACATGCTAAACTAAGATGATGATGAACATGGCAAATATGCTAAACCTGCCAAACATCAGCATGTTAGCATTGTCACTGTGGACATTTTAGTAAGCTAAAATGAGCATTTAGTTCAAAGTACCACTGTGCACATGTACAGCCTCACAGAGCTGCTAAACTCTTAAGCCCTGGCCCCACTGCAACCATCTGCAGTGCGTGTGCATCGCGGAACATCTTGCTTTTTGTTTCGGCGCCCATGTTAACAGGTCATAGCATCGACACTGCTCGTCTGCGCACAGACTCCATTCATTTGTTAACAAGTCTTTTATTGTATTTGTATTTATCAAAGGCAAACTCAGTGTAAAAAGATAGGGCTTGCAGCAGCAGCGCAGCATTAGAAATGCTGTCTGTGTGTAAGCCATAGGCGTGCGAGCGGCAGTGGTTCAGAGAGGCAACCGTCACGCAATGCTCACACCGGCAGTGTGGCCTGGCCATTAGTCTGGAGTCTTAAGTCTTTGAGCTTTCTTCCTAATTCTCAATTTTTCTTTTGTTCGCCAACAGGTTTGAACAAAAGCAGAGGATGTAACCTATAGCACATTGGCTCAGCACCAGGAAAAGCTGTAAATGTCACCCGTTTAATGAAATCAAGTCTGTCTGTCTGTCCGTCACTTTTTTTAGATGATAGTGTTGTAATATGGTGTTATCTGTTATGGTTTGGCTTTGCAATAACTTCCTTCTCCTTTTTTCATTTTGTGGGAATCTTAGTTTAACTGTTGTATGTATTAAGCCTCACAATGTAAGTAAGTAATCCTGACACATATTTTAGGGATGTGGAACATATACTATATTTACTCTCTGTTTTAACTTATGTAATTTTCAAGATATGAGTCTTCATAACTCCACATTGGGTCATCTTGCATGTTTAGAAAATAAATCATTAATAAATCATTTGTTGTTGTTTTTCATATATATGTATATGTTATGTTTGGTTTGGTTGTCTTAGTTTTAAAATTGTTCAGATTATGATTGTTGGTCAATGTTATTAATTTTTTTGGCTCCCTTTTTGTAAAAGACAATAAAGAGATGTTTCAAAAATATCCATATGCTTGGAGTGCTGGTCTTTTCTTTTTCTAAAAGTTTGTACTGTAGTTACCAGTACTATAGCCTTAATCTTAAGGTGCACTGTAGCTGCATTTATATTTACATCATCGACAAATCGCTACTGTCTTAGAGTAGGAAGAGAGATTTGCGAGAATTGCATATTTAGAAAAATCAGGAAGTGGAAAATCAGTCTAACACTTCCTTGGTCCGTGTAGTTTGGTCTGACTCTGCTCAATCACCGACATGACTGTTTATCTGAGCTTTCTTCTCATCCTCACTGGACTAACAGGTCAGTCACAAAGGTCATTTGTGTATATGTGTCCAATGGTTATGGCAGATGATGTTAATGATGACAATTAGTAATTCCCTCCAGCTTTTGTTTAATATATTTTGAAGACTGTAGTGGCCTACAGTTAATAGCAGTTAATATGAACATCTAAAATGTACAGGTCATATGAAGGAATAATATTGTGAATAAATCCATTAAAATGCTGTTTTTGTATTGTTGCAGGAATTCACAGCATAACTACAGTCAGTGAAGTGTCAGTGAAGGCTGCAGATTCAATCACCATCCCATGTCTCTATGAGTCAAAATACATAAAACAATGTGAAAATACCTTGTGTAAAGGATATAGTTGGAACTCCTGCTCATATGCAGTTAAACAAACAACCAAGTTCAGGAAAGTTTTTTAATCTCTGATGACAAAAAGCCAAGAAGTCTTCAATGTGAACTGATAAAAGATGTGACGGATGAGGACACTCGATTACTGGTGTGCTGTGGAGATTTAATAGAGGCTCAGATGTCAGAGAGTTCTTTCACCTGTCAGTCACCAGAGGTAAGAGAGACCTTAAAGCATCTTTATGCATATTTCAAATCCTCTGTTGAATTTTTTACAATTTGATAAAGAAGAAAAACACCTCCTCAGGGTCACATTGTTTGCCATGGAGACGCCCACCCAAATATTTCTATTGGATTTGTTTTCCCATAAGATACGCCCTGGCTTTATGTGCACCATCAGGAGATTGCAGGATTTAAGGGAGAAAAAACAACCATCAGCTGTTTCCATCATAACTCTGGACAAAAGAAGTGGTGCAGGCTGGGTAGCTCCTGTGTGACGGGGTCTGGATCAATAGCTGGAACAAGAGTGACCATCACTGCAGGGGTTAATGTTTTCAGTGTGACTATGAGTGGACTGATGATAGAGAGCAGCGGCTGGTATTGGTGTGTCAGTGGAGACTTTCAGATGCCAGTGCATGTAACTGTTACTGAGAAACCTACCACCAGTAAGCTTATTACTACTCATAAAAATATTTACAGCCATTTGGTAAATTATTTTATTAAGAGAAATTAGGAGTAAATATTGTAGGTTTACTCTACATATCATTTTATCTTTTTTTGCATTATAGCCACTCGTGCAACAACAACACAAACAACAACAAATTCAACCACTATATCACCCACTTCTAAGTCTGTGAATGTCACCACAGTTACCATGAGCATACGGTATGTATAAAACTATTGCCATTTTGTGGTCAAATAAATCAAAAGTAGGAAAGGAATCTCTATACATAATTGTATGATAAATAAGATTTATTTATTAACTGAGGTACTATAGGATGGTGTAGCATTGTAGTTTGTAATACAGATGATGAATACAGTTTACATTATATTGTAAGCTTGTTTGAACAAGAGCATTCTGTTTATCTTTATTACTTTGCTTTGTGTGTTGTGTTTATTTATTTATGCCTCAGTGCTTCAATTGACCTAAAAATCCTCATCATCCCTTTGAGCTTGTTGATCTTCATTGTATTGGTGACCCTGTTCATCTGGTTGCTGTTGAAAAAGCACCGTAAGTCTTGACAAATCCAATTGATACTAAATAGGTTTGTAACTTTTAAAGATTACATTTTTATACAAACTATTTTGCATTTAGAATAACAGGAGTTTTTCACTGTTTCACTTTCAGAGCAGAACAAATCAGCATCATTAACCATGACAGCGGTAAGATTTTTATTTATTTCCTAGTTTTTCATAAAGAAGGCTATAACTATCCACATAAAGGCAGAAGTGTGATAGTGGTCAATTGTTTAAATTTACACTGCAGTGGTAGGGTGAGAATGGAAGTGGAACGTTGAGTGTTATTACAGAAATTCTGCTTTGCTACACTGTACTATTGCAGATTAATATCTAATATGAGATTACAGTAACCATTATCAGATATGTGATCAATAATGGAGATTCCTTTTATCATAAATCCAATCCACCAGTGCCCCAGGGCCTCTCACTGCTAGGGGGCCTCCAAGCCTCAGGCCACACACGCGCGAACCAAGACTTCCTAAATCTTTCCAATAAGCAATATGTGAAAATGTTTTATTTGACTATTTGAACATTGTTCTATTGGTATTGGTCCTCTAACATTTCGATCTACTCATTCAACACAGGCTGAAGAGGAAGTAACATACGCTAATGTTGGGCAAGTGAGGAAACCTTCAAGCCAGGTAATCCATAACTGCAGAGATATCCAGGGAAAATTGTAAAATGTCAAATTTTCTGAGAATGTACTCTCCCTTTGTCATTATAGTGCTATAGGCTGTTGTAATATTGAAGAATTGTTTTTTTCTGTCAGATACAGCACATCTAAATTTTGTCTTTGTTTATTATTGTTATTAAGAGAAAACTATAATCACTAAATTGAGCACTTTATGATCCGACAAGTACTTAAAAGTAGAAGTCAAAATGTGTGTCATTGAATGTCAGGTCATGTAACCTACACAAACCAAAATTTATATTGCACAAAACGAGTACACTTAAGAACACATAGGTACACTCAAATCTAAAATATTACTTCACCATTAACAATGACGGCTATAAAAAATTATTTTAATCTGAAAAGGGAAGTGATCATCTTTTTCATAACTGTCTCTCTTTCCTCATGCAGACATCATATACTGAAAGTGATGTGGACGTGATATATAGCTCTGTGGTTGCCATAAGGCAAAAAAGTGTACGAGGGGTAAATATATATTATATATTATATATTTATATATTTATATATATATAGCTATATATAGATGTCAGCTTTTATCTATCTATTTTTATGCTTTTATACCATCCTATGTGATTTTTTACTTATTTTTTTGCCCCCAACAGGTTCAAGCAATTGATGAGAATGTTACATACAGCACATTGGCTTAGCTTCAGCACAGCTTAATGCACATTGTCTTTGTTTGTCTGTTTGCCTTTTAATCTATTTGGCTCTTGTTGGAAGACTTTTTTAAATGAGAGTGTCACAGTGTGTTGTCCTACGTTATCATTTGGTTGTGCAGTGACTTCTCTCTTGGTTTTATACTTTGTCCATACTTTCTTCTCTTCTGCTTTTCAAAGACGCATTGCCTTGCTTGTTTGTCAAGTGTTAGACAGTGACAATGACTATGCAAATCTTGTGTTTACTGTTGTGTTATTTATTAGGCCTACAGCTCGCAGTAAGTTAAGTTCATGGACATGGAATGTATCCATTCAAGTTGACTCTTATACAATACATAGAATCTTCATCTGTTAGTTGTGTTTTAATTTCACAACATTCAAGTCTGCTTCACAAACTTCTGTATAGCCAAATAAAGCAGATACCAGGGCTGCTGTGTGAAGGTTCTTTTTTTTCTGTAAAGAGTGACAGGAAAGTGGGGAGAGGGGATTACATGCAGCATAGGGCCACAGGTTGTAGTTGAACCTGGGCCACTGCTGTAAGGACTCAACCTTTGTACATGGGTCACACGTTATACAAGGTGAGTTACCAGGGTGCCCCCCTTGGTGAAGGTTCTTGTTTCTGGATCTACCAGGTTCTAGAAATGTAAATGTTATTGAGATTTTACAGATGGACATGTTTTGAAGGACACATGAGGCTTTCATAGTTACTGAACCTGTTTGCAAACTCCTGCCCAAGCTTTAACAGATAAAACATCCTCTTATGCGCAGCAATTAATGCATGTAAAATAACAATTTTGTTACTTTGTACATCTGATGTACATCTGATCTAGAATCAGAAGTCCATAGTCAACCAAAATAAAAACAATGGCATCAAATTAAACAAACTGCAGTGACAGACAGACAGAGAGACTTTGCTGCTCTACACAGCATTGCTGTAGACTTGCTGTGAACAACATCTGTGAATTTTCACACATACTGTGAATAGACCATTTGCACAAGACACACCCCATTTGTTTGTGGACCTTTGTTGCATTTTTCTCTCGCCCATTTCCTGTCATCTCTCCTTCAAAATACTTTTTTTTAACAATTTTTAATACATTTTTTAACATAATCCTCATCTCTCAAATCAAATGTTTTGATACACAGACATGCACATAAAAACACAAAGGTTTATCTGTCAAACATCTGCTTTAATTATTTCATATTTGCTTACACAATAAAACTCTTCCAAGATGGGATTTTTATCATTTTGTTTTGTTTCATATTGTCTGCTTTTAAACTGATAGTCAAAGTCAAAGTCAAAGTCAGCTTTATTGCCAAATATGCTATACATGCACAACATACAGCACAGATGAAATATCAGTCCTCTGGGACCCACGGTGCAAACAGGCAATAAAAAAATAACACTTTAAGTATAAAAGCATAAATAGTGCACAGTTCTAACTAAGTAAATGGCAATAGAAAAGACATAAAATAAACAGTCAGCAGTTAAAGGCACTTATGGTATTTACAGGAAGTTAAGGTGAGGTAGTGCGGTGCAGTGCAAATAAGCAGGGGTAAGTGGAATGTGCAGTCCCTGAGTTCA